AATGTAGTTCAGTAGTTCAGTAATGCAACTCACACTAAAGGAAATGTGAAAATAGTGAGAAGAATATTCCACCATTACTGAAAATAAAAATCATCTTTTCCTTTAAAAAACTTAGTACAGATTACATTACACCACTGATGCCAGATAAATTTTCATCTACCCCCTCCAGCATACATTCCAAATCCCAGGTAGTCTTTCATCCAAAAGCACTTATATAACTTTATAAAGATTTCTCTCAGAGTATGTTCATCCAAGGACAGAAGTATTAAGACATTTCACATGATCTCATTAGACTTACAGTATAGTTCACATGCAGTTCATTCAGATAAGCAGCTGATCTCCCAGAACTTTTCCAATCTGCACCCAAAAGCTGAGTATTTTCAGTTTTGCTTCACCAAGGCTTAAAATGCAGCAGAGTGCACTCAACCATGGAGCAGTAGGGGAGCTCAGAGCAATATTCAAGTCACTGAGCTAACTAGGTAGACAGAGAAACTACTGGAGGGAGGGAGGGAGCGAGGGAGGAGGGGAGGGAACATGATAATGTTAGGCAGGTATCACATAGTTGAAGTCTCTAATCCAATTCATTATCCTGTACTGTAATATAAATCCTGAGAGAATAATTGAATATTATTCGCATTAGGGAGGGGCCTCTGACTGTCCGGACAGGAAGAACTCCCTCAGTGTGTAACCTAATGAACGGATATGCATAGTCTTTATCTCTGCAACAGTGCAGAGGAGATGATTAAAGAGATGCAGACAAAAAGAGGAGGTAAAGTTGAAGAGGATCGCCTCCTATACAGGAACACTATGCTAGCTATACATGAACACTATGGGACTGAGACTTTGAGGCTAAAAATATGGAAAAAAATCTGGAAGGAAGAGCAAAAGCAATAAATACATTTAAATAATAACAGATTTGCAACACTACTCTTTCATCATCAAACAGTACTGTGGGTTCAAGTGTGTTATATGTCAATAGAGGATACAAATGGTTGTGGTAAACATAGGACCAGCATCAATTACATTGGCAAAAATATTTCTGTGGCTATTTGTACCTAACGGCATAGCCCTAGAGTTCCAAGGACAACTAGTGAAGAAGAAGGAGACTCTGGTGAGTTTTTTTTTTTTTTTTTTTTTCCTCCTCCTCTTGGCATACAACCAAAGACTTACAGGAACATTCTGGCTGTAATGAGTTCAGTTAAACTTCAGATGAAAAACCCAAGGACATGGCCTCGGTGAAAGAGAAATACCAATGGAATGAACTTTCTAGGAGTGAGATCACTGGGAAGATAGCACATGACAAGTGAGTGATATACCCAGATATCCTTAAGGTGAGGAGTAACATTTGAAGTGATTAAATTCTCAAAAGCGAACAAATCTAGCAACCAAGCACAGTGTAGTCTTAATTTTAGAGAATCAATGGGAGAGATTACTGTGTTACTTAGCAATCAAGCAACTTTATACAGTGTGAAACCATAAAACATATACACTGTAAATATATATGCTTTTGTTTTGTTGCTCATACTTGAATAGGAAGCTGCTTTGTCTCTGTGAAGTGCAATGCATTAGATCCATTCTAGATATTATCTACAGAGAACTCAATACCCTTTCTCAGACTCCATATGATTCAGTCTTTGGCTGAGCATTTCCTCACATCATGTACCTTCCGAAGAGTAGCATCTTTAAGAGGTTTACCTAAAAATAAATCCCTTCAGGTTTAGTCATGTCACTGAAACTAAGTCCAGCAAGAAAATATCATTTCTTTTTCCCCCTTTCTTTATTGCCTTATAAGGTGCTGCCTGTCCCTATGGATCATATTTGGATCTGCTGATGGGTGGGGCCTTGCTATCTTTTGGGTGTGTTGCTCCCCAGGGGACACATTAACAAGTATATGCATGCTCTGGGAACTATAATTATTTCTGGATGACATACGAGGTCAGAGAATAGTGTAAAACACTCCTCACAAGTCTTGAAAAAAAGATACCAAGATATCACTCAATCTCTTGCTGCCCAACAAAAATACATCATGGACCAGTTCCCAGCTGGTGCTCCTCTGAAATCAACTCGGGGCTTACAATGGCCTGACAGTGTTTACCTAAGCCTTACACTATGCATGAACTGTATTTCAGCAGCCCAAGAGAGTAGTGCAGACTGCACATCTCTCAAGCACCAGAACCAGTTCAACACAGGTTTGGTCCTCCTGGGGTTTAATTGCAGTTTCTTTGTCTGGAGGCTCCTTCCTGTTCACATAGCTCACACACAGAGTTAAACTCTTTGTTTAAACGCTAAAATCTTTGGGGTATAGGCTGACATTTTATGACTTGGCTATGAAGAGTCTACTACAAAACAGGGTCCTGATCCTTTATTGGGACCTCTAGGCAATGCTGCAAGACAAGCACTAATTACAGAGGTGTCACCTTGTTATCTGAGCAAATCACTGTAACAACTCCTTCATTTTGCTTCAGGCTCTTCTCCAGCTATTTTGTTGCCTTGACTAAGCCATTTAACTCAGTTTTATATCCTCCTCATGTAAATATAGTATTTACTTCTCCAACATAGTTAATGGTCATTACTCTTCGTGAAAATGCAAAGTGGGCGGCAGGGCAGGCGAAGGAAGGATAATGTTTGCTCTCTTTGTGCTCCCCACTTTGCTGGGTATTTCTTCTCTTAATAACTGAGTTTCTCAAAGACATAGGCAAGCACTAGACCTAAAAAATAAGTAGCCAGTTAAATTGCACATACATACATAGGCATACAAAAGGACACGTGTGTCCTTTCTGGTCCCTCTTTACAGAAAGGCTCGATAAGGCAAGGTAGACTAATGAACCTTAAGGTCTGACTTGACATCTGCTGCTCTACTAAACATAACTAAGGATTTTAATGTCACTTGACTTCCTATTCAAGATTTACAAATGAATTGGCAAAGATACAATCATAATAAAAATATATTATTTCACAGTTCTATGGTAATGCGAGGCCCATTTACTAAGTCTATAAGCAGAGTTTGAATTGTCAAAGTTCAGCATTGAAAATAAACTTCATATAGAGAGAAATTCACATATTTGAACAGGTAATAACAAAATCCTTAAAGTAATTATGTAGTTTGTTTTGTTCTTGTCACCTCACCCAACCCTCACATTTCTAATACCCACCCCCATTTCCATAGTCATAAAACTTTTAAACCACTTCTTGTCCACTTTGCCCTAACAACGCTTCTACCCATAAAGGCATTAATTTAATAGGGGGATCAAATGAAAAGAAAATATTAAATGCTCCCTGTGATGTTGCCTTCAATATTTCATTTTTTATTTGCTATTTAAAGCTTTGGATTATGTTTCTTAAGGAACACAATGTCATATCAGTGAATCTAATCAGACCGATGCAATTATTTTAAATGTCCAAAGAAAAACAGATTCACAGGAGGGAGTGGAACTGTGTTTCTTGATTTAACATCATTATTCATACATTTGATGACAATAGCAAAACTTATCATTGAATAGGAATAAATATTCAACTTTGTGTAAAAATCAGTTTGATAAAAAATAAGCTCAAGTACACCTTCCTAGATGTTTTGAACATTGGACAACTATATAAGAAATACCTATAAGAAATACCTATACAAGAAATATATAGTTACCAAAATACTTATGTAAGAAGTAACCTAGAGTATTCGTATTTTAAAACATTGACTAAATGTAGTTGTTCTACTTTTTATTTCATATAATGTAATAAATGACAATAAATATATACATAATGTATTAAATTACCATAAAATGTCTAAACAACAGCCGCACCTCCAGAACTACTCTCAGTTTATCAAATGAAATAAAGAAGAAAGTATCAAAGCAAAAACCTTCACTTGTATCAAAATAGGGATGTTTTTACACATCCAATTCTATTCCTCCTGGGGAAAAAAAAAAAAAAAGATGGTCCCTGGAGTATCCTTAAATATGAACCAATTTTCACTGAAGAGCAGGAGTTAGAGTGGGGAAGAGATTAGAAATGATTTGTGAGATTATCACTGAGCCAAAAAGTCAGTGATATGTTTCTGTAAATCTTACTTAGACAGGTCAAGCCACTGTAAATTCTATAGAGACCAAAGTAGTGTGTTCTCACCAACAAAAATGTACACTTTAATGTCCTCCCCACACTTAAAACAATTACATACTTCCCTATGAAGCATTTTTGTGCTTTTTTCACAATTTACGTGGATGGCATGTGGAAGCACGCACAAACTGAGGGGCAAAGTCCTCACAAAGAAAATTTGCAAGGATTTCAAGGAGTCCACACGCCTGGCACTGTCAACTGGCCCTTTTTTTTTTTTGGGGGGGGGGGGGGGGGGGAGAAGCGAAGCTTAGCTCAGGGTTATGTGTAATCAAAAGTTTCCTTGTCCCCTTTCCTCCCCCCGACTCTCCAGTCTCGTTGAACACCTCGGACTCCCCCAGCTCAGCTAAAGGCTGATTCCTCCCAGTTGGAGCTCCTCCACCCTGGGAAAGTTGGGGAAAGCGGAGCACAGAGGGAGCCACAACCAAGCCATGAGGAACTTGGTCGAGGTTTTTTTTTTTTTTTTTTTTTTTTTTTCCCCCCCCCCCCCCCTTTCTTTTTCCCATGCGCGCCCGCGGACACTTACCAACCACCTCTTCCTAAGCGCCGCTCCAGTCCCAGGTCGTTAAAACGAGGGACTTAACTGCTTTGGACGCGGAGGGGTCGTAGGGGAGGTTCAAAGTTAGGGAGAGCGATATCCTCCCCGCTCCTAGTTTTACCTAGGGTTTAAAGGGGCCGGAGCGGAGGCGGCTGGAGGAGCTGGGGGGAGCGCCCCTGCCCCTCGCCGGCTCCCACCCCAGGTGAGCCCCAAAGCCGTAGCTCTCCGGCGCTGCGAGGTGCCAACACGACATTCTTCCCAGAACGGAAAAAGTAAAGGCGGGAGGAGGGGGAAGTATAAAAGAAATCCATGAAAGAAATCCCTTCTCCCTCTTCCTCCACGTACAAAGAGACTTTACCTGTTTTTATGCCGAGCTTTTAACAAATTCCTTCCAAAGGGAGCCATGATCCCAGCGGCAGAAGCATAACATCAGCAATCCTCAAGCAGTTCAAGGGTGTTCCCTTCTCCCCTATTTTTTTCCCTGAGCGCCTTCCAGCTTCTTAATAGTCACTGAGCGTAGCGATGAGCTGGAAGTTGTGTAATTTACTGCTAACTTTGAACTCCAGCTTGTTGCTGCTGCTGCTGCTGCACCTTTGGAGTCCTGCCCAGCTACAGTCTTGAAGGAGGCGTTTAGGAGCAAGAAAAAGAAAGTGGGGAAAGAAGGCGGGGGGGAGGGGGGGGTGAACTAACCCCACACTTGCTCCTGTGATTTGAAGTTATGTACAGGACGTGCAAAACTTTCAGCCTCGTCACCATCAGGGCAGCCACCAGCCAGCAAATGGGAAAGAAGGGCTTTAGTTCTGGTGGGGAACTCTTGGAGGGGAGAAAAAAAAAAAAAAAAGGATTGAAAACTTTTCCTGGGAGGTTCCAGCCACTTCAGGTCAAATCGCTCAGCTAAACAGCAGCGCTAATGAAGGGCAAGTTGTCACACCAGTTCTTTGCACATAATAACCTGCCTTTCAAATCCAGGAGCTCTATGGCATTGCAAGATATTGGGACAATAATGGGAAGATAAAGAGACAAAGTCAGATGTCTGTGGTCCCTTTGCCCTCCCTGTTTTTTTTTTTTTTTTTTAACTAAACATGTGCTATTTGCAACAGAGTCCTTCGCAGACCCTGGTGTGACTGAAGGTACCTCTGAAAACCCCTCTACCGTGATCAGCAGAGAAGGAGTGAAGCAGAAACCAAAGCTCAGTTCATTTTGGGATGTTGCAGGAAGATTTTTTTAAATATATTTTTATTATTATTTTAAGATGACTTTGCCAGTAGGGAGGTGAATGCATCTTAAAGTTCCTGTTTGCTAAAACTCCCTGGAAATGAGAGATTTGTAATGAAGCTTCAGAAGGGATTTTTGTATTTCTTTCTTTGGTGCGGAGCAAAGGAAAGAGGACCCAACTGTGCGGTAAAGTCCAACATTGATGAAGTGAAGGTCCTGGACCCGAAGGAAGCTTCGAGCACAGCTCACTCTAGCCCTCTGCTCTGTGCACTTATTTTTAACAAGCTTGTATTAGACATAAATCACTTTTTTCCCCCCTCCTCTTTGCTTTCTTTTGTTTCCTGCCTTTTACAGGGTAAACTCTGTAGGCAATGCCCCAACGTGCAGCAGAACAGGGAATTGTTTTATCAAGCAAAAGAGATGACTAGATAGGGCTCTATAAGAGATGGGCTTATCCGAAGGAGACTTCTGCTATTTCTAAATTTCTCTGTTTCTTCCTCAATCAAGACAGTCACAACAACATAAAGAAAACAAAGTGAGGGCCTATTCCATGGGTTACCTATTACTGGCAGCTCTGGGAATACCCTACATATTTTCAGTTTGGTCCCACGCACTAAATTCGCTGAGTTGTAACTACAGAGAGAGAGACCAGAGCTTTGTTTGGGTAATCACTCAAATAACAGAAAGGTAGAAAAGCTAAAACAAAACAACTTCCCTGCTGCCAGGGGAGATTTTAAGAGGCAGTCTGGTTTTGGCATTATGAACATGATTCCAAATATATTAATTTTCTTCTATTTAGAGGACAGCAATAGTTTTTTCATTCCTTAGGACATGTTCAAATCATATTCAACACAAAATTCTGATCAGTATAAATTTTTCTAGAGATAAAAATAATATTCAAGTAACCATTTTTATTGGTGGAGGTAAAATTAAATAGCTTTATCTGCAGAATAATATTCAATTCTCCTTATTAAAAGAACAAATGGGAATCTGGCAACATCTGTAGCTGTTCTCAAGCTCCTGAATTCACTATTTAAATCTCAGAATTTTAATTTATTGAAATATTAAAATGCCATGGAAATTATTTCCCTTTTACTATCAAATGCAAGTAATTTTAAACTAAAGATATATAATGTGGGAACTGTGTACCTCTATACATATATATCAGAATGCTTCTATTTCTGTGTAGCTATGCAACAAGCTGTAGTAAAGATTCCAGCATTATTATTCAAACATTTTCTGCACTGCTGAGGGAGAAAAGGCAGCTTTCAGTCTATACACTTTCACAATTAGACTAACAAAATACAGGAAGAAAATAGGTGGGAGTATGATAAAGCCTTACAAAATAATAAAGGAGAGAATCCTGAGGAATCAGAATTCTTCTTCTTTAGTAGAAACAAGAAAAAGCAGTCAAATGGAACTGAGGAGGTGTCATTTTCCAGTGTATTCAAGTAATTTACAGGACTCAATCAAAAATATAGAGGGCAGAAATGCTTGTGAATTTACATAAATACATGCATAAAGACAAAATATAAATGGGTATTTACTCTTAGTAACAGAAGGAACATGATCCTCCAGTCCTCAGTACATAAACCAGTCTCTGAATATGGGGAATTAGTAGGCAAACATTTCAGAGGAACGGCTTAATTTTGCATGTAGTGTTGACACAACAGTTCAGTTAGCTTATCCTTAAACTTCCAAAATGCCTCAATCTACCTGTATCTGCATGTACATGTCTTGAGCTTTCTTTAAACTTGAGATCTGATCTTCTAGGAATATCGGGCCAACATTCCAGACCAAGGCCCTGGCACTTCCCACCACACCATGTGGACGTAAAAAGCAGCCAAGACTCAAATCAAGCGGGATCACCTCGTGGTTGTGCATGTCAGAGTCAGGAAGGTGAACAGCTGGTACTGTTTCATTTTTCACAGGTTTTGGGAGTCTTAGCCAAATTACTCTCCTGCCTCTCCTGCCTCTACAAGAAAGGCAGATAGTTCTGTTCACAGAACTTGTTCTTTTTCTTGGGGAGTGGAGTATGTGTGTGTGTGGGTGGGGATGGTGGGGGGGTTGAAAACATTGTAAAATTTGCACATCCTGAGCTTGAGATCATCAGAAAGGTTTGTCAACAATTTACCATGGTATTTAAAGTGGAAAGAAAGTGAAAAATAAACACCTGAGTAGTACCTGCGATATGGATAGGTTTTCTGAACAGTGAATCTGGGTGCATATCTTTGGTGCTTAATCAGAAAGTTTAAGATTTTAATTGAAATATTTCCCTTTACCATCTCCCAAAACATCTCACACTGAGGACTGTGCACATCCCCACAGCAAAAGTACTGCAGCACAGGTATGTATAATATAGCTTTAAGCTGCAGCTATCCAAGGATATATTTTCAGAGGATGCAGAGAGTTAGACAACTTCTTACGCACAACAAAAATGTTTATCTTGGCCTTCAATCCCTTCAGTTTTATTCCTAATTAGCACATAGCCCCATTGCTCATCTTATGCAGACTTCAGGATCTCATCTGATCCCATCATAAACTGACGTAACTCGATTATGTTCCAACCCAGCAGCAAAAGTTTGTTTCTTCTCTCTTTTGGACAGATTACTGAGGTGAATTGCCATACTTCAAGATCAGATAATCAGTCAGACATGGTGATCCTCAGAGTGCAAAGCAGGCGATGAACTAGAAGCAGAGCTGAAAGCATGAAAGAGCAAGCAAAATGGGAAAAAAAGAGACAGAGGAACAAAAAAGAGCAAGATCTTTTCCTTTGTCTGTGTGGTAGTACAGCTCTACAATCCACGAAATCATACCTTTAGAGGAGATTTATATTAAATTGGTACGATTGGTGTTGCTTTGACTGCATTTAAAAGTGGCATGGTCCCAATTCTCTTCCTGTTTCATTGTACCAGGTCTGGGTCTCACCAGACTTTGTGCTTACATCATTCAAGCTATTAAACTGACCCAGCATGCAGGAAAATGAATAAATAGTTTTTTGCTTCTCTAACTAGTTAAATTGACTTGCATAATTGTTAGACAAGTAGCAGGAATGGCATGAGGTAAGATTGTATGGTCAAGAGTACGGGCAGACATATGGAAGAAGGACCCCTCTTTTGAGCAAATGACCCATTCCTTGCTGCACCTCAGCTGCTTCTGGTACCTTAACTGTCTAATTTTAAACCTTCAGAAATATTTTTATCTGCATTAAGTGCTGACAAGCCTGTAAGACACCAGACTAAATGGTTCAATAGGAAAAGGGAAAGGTAAATACCTAAGTTGGTTAAACAGCAAGAAATGGTGTGACACATCCTCAGAGAGTTTGAGGTTTACCCCAGAGAGCTCTGGAGGACTTGGGCTGCTGAACTTGCCTGAAAAGATTTGCAAAAGGGACTTGGAAGACTGGTGACTGATGAAAAGATAGTGGGTGATGGTCATTTTGCGTAATGCAAAATGTTCATCATAATGTACTTAGAGAAAATCTAAAGAACCCTTAATTTATCTGTCATGTCTCAAGGAAAATGAATTGTTTGGTGTAGTTCACTCAAAGCTTCAGGTCAGTGTTCTGTAGTAGTAAAAGGTAAAAATGAAAAAAAAATCAGAAGAGAGAACATCTAAAATAGATACTATAGAAACCAAAGGAAAAAAAAAAAAAGAAAAAAAGCAAATGGCAAGGAGAAAGAGTAATTTAATATAGATAATAGCGTAATATATGAGGAGAGATGATGTTGCAGAGATAAGGCTCCTCAATATGAAACAGCTGCATATCTGATTATTATAAGACAGGCCTATAATGACATATATCTTAAAGAAACAGAAAACAATGATTTTTTCTCATAGGATATGGGCCTGCTGAATGAGATAACCAGATATAAGAGGTTAAAATAAACAAATGATTTTGTAGTAACAAATTATAGAACTGCTCTCTGACTGCAAAATGTATTTGGGAACAAAAGCATGAGTGAATTTAAAGTGAGGTTGGACAAAACCATGGCCGATATGGCCACTAGAGGTCATGAAATATCAGTGTGTTACTGGATCCGTGTGGCCTTGGTCTAGCTATTTGCCAGATCCCTTTCTGTTCTCTTTTTTCCTACACTATCACTCACCACTCTCTGGCATAGCCCTAAGTGTGACCTTCTGTGACCATTGTAAGGCAGTGAAAGAACATCCTTCTACCTCTTGCAGGGACTATTAAATATAATAGTCC